AGCGAAATGAGAAGCCTCTTTCCATCCGAGTCTGAGAAGCAAACCCCTAAACCCTAAACCCAAAATCCGAAACCCTAAACCCTAAACCCTAAACCCTAAACCCTAAACCCTAAGCCCTAAACCCTCTAGCCTAAACCCAAAGGAGTTGAAGGGTCACAATCAAACGAGAGCACGGCGAGACTCTGCGCCGGGCCCCATGCCGTTTCACATGGCGTAGGATGGTGTTGACCCTAAACCCTAAACCCTAAACCCTAAACCCTAAAAGGATGGTGTAGGATGGTGTAGGGCCGGTCCCCGAAGCTCAGTGCGCATATGCCCGGGCGACGCCTCTATGACTTGCTGGAGCTGTCCCCAGATGCCACAGCAGAGGAGATCAAGCGTGCTTACAAGCCTGCGCCTCAGACATGGGTTTAGGGGTTTAGGGGTTTAGGGGTTTCGGGGTTTAGGGGTTTAGGGGTTTCGGGGTTTAGGGGTTTAGGGGTTTAGGGGTTTAGGGGTTTAGAGGTTTAGGGGTGTAGGGGTTTAGGGGTTTAGGGGTTTAGGGGTTTAGGGTTTAGGGCAAGCGTGCTTGCAAGCCTGCGCCTAAGACGTCCAGAGATGAGCCCTGTCGGAGAGTCCCGCTGTGCATGGCATGGAGGCGCCTGGCGCTGAAGCATCATCCAGACCGCGGTGGCAATGCCAGTGCTTTTCAGGAGCTGCCTTTCGCACCCTCGGCATAGCAACAGCACCTTTCAAGCCTCGTAGAAGAAGACAAAGACGAAGAACAAGCAGAGGAAGAGAGAGAGTGAGATAAAGCGAGTGAGAGGGTCGGAGAGTGCTCAATGGTGTGCACCCGCGCGCTCGACAGTGTGCAGCGAACGGGGCAATGTGCCATTCTAGGTCTCGGCCTCGCGCCTCCACAACAAGGCTTGTTGCGAGAGGAGGAGAGGAAGAAGAAGAAGAAGAAGAAGAAGAAGAAGAAGAAGAAGAAGAAGAAGAAGAAGAAGAAGAAGAAGAAGAAGAAGAAGAAGAAGAAGAAGAGAAGAAGAAGAAGAAGAAGAAAGAAGAAGAAGAAGAAGAAGAAGAAGAAGAAGAAGAAGAAGAAGAAGAAGAAGAAGAAGAAGAAGAAGAAGAAGAAGAAGAAGAAGAAGAAGAAGAAGAAGAAGAAGAAGAAGAATAAGAAGAAGAAGAAGAAGCAGAAGCAGAAGCAGAAGCATAAGCAGAAGAAGAGGGACATGTTTTTTTTTTCCATTCCTCCTCCACAGACGAATGCCTCTTCCGGCATGCCCTAGAGCCCAGCCTTCGGCAATGAGAGGCTTCTGGGTCCAACAGGCATGCTAGAATAACAAAGGTTCCTGCGCGCGCAGCAAAATTCGATGCAAGGATCCTGTGAGGCGCCTTGCTGGAGCGTTTGCAGGTACAAGGTCCGGGTGTTGAAAATGAGCTCTGTACTTGTATTGTGCGAGATTGTGCTTGGTTCCTCGTCGAATCGAAGTCGCAAGCTTTTGCAGATGCATGCTCGCTATCGCACTTCCCACACATGCTCAGCAATTTGAATGCAGTCTGCGGGCTTGCCCATGGAGATCTCTGAAAGGGAGAGAGGGGTGTGTGTAATTGTGCAACAAGCGGACCGGATGATGAGGATGATGGGCTTGTGAAACAAGACTTGCTGCAGTTGCGATCAGAAAAAATCTGAGTTCTCAACGCTCGGAACCAGTGAGTTTGGTTGAGGAAGTTAATTCCGACAGACCGCTGTCTGAAGTCCTGGATCTCATTCTCAAGGACGCACAAAAGCCTTGAGGTGATGTTCCGCGTGCCGTCCGTATTTCTGCCCCGCATCCTATAGCTGGCATGAGATGGGTCAGGAGTTGAGGAAGCACTTTCGACCTCGTGACCTGAGTCAGTCAGGTACACATCCAGTCCCTGTTGGCCATGTCCTTGTCGTGGTTTTTCAAGGTTAAGGTCAACATTTTTTTTCGTGTTGGGGCACCTTGCTGAGCCGATTGACGATTGAAATTTGTTCGAGGCAAGATGGGACATGCTGCGAGCAGGGAGTCGTGGTGTGCGGTACAAAGATCTCGCATGGGCTCGGTTTCATGCGGCGATATTTGTGGTTCATGTTTGTACCACATGCTAGACACGTATCTTGTGACAGACCCTGGTGTTTCGACCTTCAACATGTCTGTATGCAAGACAAGGATTACGTCTTTTGGTGTTGGGTGCTTCCCGTCCATGCGGCATCTTGAACTGTTCAACAGCCAGCCCTTCAAGCCTCAAATGTTGTATCTGACTGTCTTTGAAGGACTTAGGTGGCGCAAGACATGTATGCTAAATTTTTTCGCCATGTCAACCCCAGATCTCAACAGGTTCCTTTGTTCTGGAGAAGCGGACATCTTTTAGATGTTCGTCAGTTGTCCGCTTGAGTTGGCCCGTTGCCCGGCTTATGCGTCGGGAAAGGAACTTCAGTAGAAAGGCTGATAGCAAGTACCAGGATAAGTTCTGTGCTGAGTTATGTTCCAGCCGCAGATGAGAGTCAGACGTATGAACGGCTTTTTGGAAGACCATGCCGGTGTTTGTCATGCTTATGTTTGGTTGGGGCAGTAGCCTCTGGCTTGCGAGTCCGCTTAACCATGAAGTCTACTGTACACTTTGTGGGTGAGTCCTGGGTGCGGCTTGCTACTATCAGTCAGAAGCCCCGATGCTGCCATTATGTTCCTGTCCGCTTGCGTGCCCTAGAGCCCAGCCTTCGGCAATGAGAGGCTTCTGGGTCCAACAGGCATGCTAGAATAACAAAGGTTCCTGCGCGCGCAGCAAATTCGATGCAAGGATCCCGTGAGGCGCCTTGCCGGAGCGCTTGCAGGTACAAGGTCCGGGTGTTGAAAACGAGCTCTGTACTTGTATTGCGCGAGGTCGTGCTTGCAGTCTGCGGGCTTGCCCATAAAGTTCTCCGAAAGGGGGAGAGGGGTGTGTGTAATTGTGCAACAAGTGGACAGCATGATGAGGATGATGGGCTTGTGAAACAAGACTTGCTGCAGTTGCGATCAGAAAAACCTGAGTTCTCAATGCTATGAACCAGTGAGTTTGGTTGAGGAAGTCAACTTCAACAGGCCGCTGTCTGAATTCCTGGATCTCATTAGAAGCGACTCGGCGTGCCGTTCGTACTTCTGCCCGGCATCCTATAGCTGGCATGAGACGGCTAGCACTTTCGAACTCGTGACCTGAATCAGTCAGGTACACATCCAGTCCCTGTTGGCCATGTCTTTGTAGTGTTTGTTTTTTTGGTTGCTGTCCACCTTTTTTTCTCTTGGGGCACCTTGCTGAGCCAATTGAAATTGTGTTCGAGGCAAGATGGGACATGCTGCGAGCAGGGAGTCGTGGTGTGCGGTACAAAGATCTCGCATGGGCTCGGTTTTCAGGCGGCCACATGTTAGACGACTTTCACGTGTCTGTATGCAATGTCCAAGGTACAAGGATTACGGCTTTTGGTGTTGGGTGCTTCCCGTCCATGAACTGTTCAACAGCCAGCCCTTCAAGCCTCAAATGTTGTATCTGACTGTCTTTGAAGGACTTAGGTGGCGCAAGACATGTATGCTAAATTTTTTCGCCATGTCAACCCCAGATCTCAACAGGTTCCTTTGTTCTGGAGAAGCGGACATCTTTTAGATGTTCGTCAGTTGTCCGCTTGAGTTGGCCCGTTGCCCGGCTTATGCGTCGGGAAAAGAACTTCAGTAGAAAGGCTGATAGCAAGTACCAGGATAAGTTCTGTGCTGAGTTATGTTCCAGCCGCAGATGAGAGTCAGACGTATGAACGGCTTTTTGGAAGACCATGCCGGTGTTTGTCATGCTTATGTTTGGTTGGGGCAGTAGCCTCTGGCTTGCGAGTCCGCTTAACCATGAAGTCTACTGTACACTTTGTGGGTGAGTCCTGGGTGCGGCTTGCTACTATCAGTCAGAAGCCCCGATGCTGCCATTATGTTCCTGTCCGCTTGCGTGCCCTAGAGCCCAGCCTTCGGCAATGAGAGGCTTCTGGGTCCAACAGGCATGCTAGAATAACAAAGGTTCCTGCGCGCGCAGCAAATTCGATGCAAGGATCCCGTGAGGCGCCTTGCCGGAGCGCTTGCAGGTACAAGGTCCGGGTGTTGAAAAACGAGCTGCGTTCTGGTACTGTGTGACATGGTCGACACGAAAGGACGGCGATCTGTGTTGGATCAGTTCACTGTCTTCCTTGCTGCTTACAAGCCTTTCGCAAGCTTGAAGCCGTCGAGACGCGTCCCTCCCCCTTTCAGATGCTGTGAGGGCACTGGGGATCTTATTGGAATGCGTAGACAAACTGCAGGGTGTGGTGCGACCGCCCCTGCTAGGAGTTGAGCTCGGCCTACGAAATTCTGAGCGACCAGGAGCAGCTCTCCAGAGCTGAAGTTGTTGTCTGTCCCAGGCGGCTCGGTTTCAGATCATGTGTGCTGTCGTGAGGAGCGCAGAGCTCTGTATGACCAGATGGGTGATGAGGCCCAGGGAGCTTCAAAGAGCAGCCGCGGGATAAGGTGGGGGGCTTTGCGATGATAAGGGACTCCCCCCCCTCAATGTAGAACTCTCCTGCAAAAAGTAGGATCCCCTTGTTTTAAAACCCCAAGGACCCCAATGAGGCACCCCAAAATCGTAAACCCCATGTATCCCCATGTTGTGTGGCCCAGGGCTACCGGAAGGCCCAGCAAGTGGCCAAGAACCCCCACACAAGACGCCTGCTCCTCTGGCGCACCGTGCGGCGTTTTGTTGTTTTGTAGACTGACTGCCACTTTGTTTGCCCAGATGCCGGCGGTGGCCAAACAGTTTTCGACATGTTCAGCAACTTCTTTGCCGAAGGCCAGGATTTTGAAAGCTTTAAGCCGCTTCCCCTGCCAATCCATCTCAGCCCGTTTCAACCTTCAGGCGGCGTCGGCAGGTTCGCAGACTTGCTTGGAGCCCATTCTGTGCCGGCAAAGGCCAAACCCCCAATATCCCAAATGACTCTTTATCACCTAGCAATGAAGCCGGTTCTGGAGGCCAGCGTCCCTGTGACGCTGGAAGACGTGTTCACGGGATCCACGAAGCGCATCCGCGTCAAGAGGCGGGGAACCGATCCCCCACCGACTCCCGACGATCCGCAGCGACTGCGCACAGGACGTCCCGGTGTGCGTCCTGCCGCGGTGCTGGTGCTGCCCAAGGGCCTACCTGCCGCACCTGTGAGGCTCGAGATCCTCACGAAGTGCATCTCTATGCGGTTCTGACCAAGCTTTGTGTGGAAAGCCTTTAGGCTCTTTTAGGCTCTTGTAGCAGTTCACGTGGGTCTTGCGGTGAGGGCTCCGGAGTTCGTGTACGCCGCTCTGTTGGACCTGGCTTCGTGCATCAGGTGGGCAAATACCCTAAACCCTGAATCCTAAACCCTCAACTCTGAACCATACTTGAACCATACTTGTCGATGGTTTGGCAGTCCCAGCATTTTGCTGGAGCGACACTGCCTGTAGAGCCTTGTGTTTTCGCTACATGTCGGTGAAGATCTTCACTTGGGGTGCTTCGGTTCGCAGCAAGTTTCGGTTTGAGTCGGCAAGTCCTCCCTCAGGCCCTGAAACCTCGAGCCCACTGGGTTCGGGATGGGGCGCTCACGGCAATCCCAAGGCAATCCCAAGCCCTGAGCCTTCCGCCTCTGTATTTGCGAGCAGTTAATGCAGAGGTGCAGCTGGCCTGCAACAGCTGCCACGGACGCGGCTGGCTCGCCCGCGGCATCTGCCAGCCTTGTCAGGGTCTGGGGCAACGCGAGGAGACCCCCTTCGCAGGGGGATGGGGACGATTTTGTGCTGCTTGTTGTTGCTTGCCTGATTGGTTCATGCTCCAGGAGCACGAGGTGCGAGGAGCCAGTGCCAAGTTTTGTTGGCTATGGGGGTTTCCGAAATTATGGGTACCTTACTGGAGGTCCTTATTTTCGCAAACTCACATATTTTGGGATGGTCCCCATTGTACTAACTACTAACAGTCCTGAATAGGATTATAGTACCTCTTAAGTACTGCTTGTTTACGGGGGAGCATCCCAACCCACATTCTTGGACGCTTTTGTGGATCTTTGTCCCATCGATGGCACACAGGTCCTCGAGGTTCGCATACAACCGGGCCTCGAAGATGGGTATGGCGCCCAGCGGCCCTGAGCTCCCAAGTTGGTTTAGGGTTTAGGGTTTAGGGTTAGGGTTTTAGGGTTTAGGGTTTCGGGTTTAGGGTTTAGGGTTTCGGGTTTAGGGTCTAGGGTTTGGGGTTTAGGGTTTAGGGTGTCTGAATGCATGTGTCTGCTGTCCTTCGCCAAGTTCCGTCGTTGCCTGCCAGACAGCGGACGGCAGGCAGGGCACGATTTGCTCTCTCAAGCTTCAGCTGCCAGGCCCGAACTTCAGATGCCGCAGGTGAACCAGGGAATGTCTGTAGTGGGAACAGAAGAGAGGGAGGCTGCACCGGAATGAACCGAAGCATGCCCCTGCCCCCCCCCCCCAACCTCTCTTTCCTTATGGTTCTTTAAACCTTAATTACCCCAGTGGGCGGCAAATTTCAGGCAAATTTCAGGCTAAATTTCATAATTATTGTCTGTTCGTGGGCGTTTGCCTGGTTCGTGGGCAAACTTCCCTGCTTCGTGGGCATGCCTGGTTCGTGGGCAAATTTGCCTGCTTTGTGGGCATTTGCCTGCTTCGTGGGCATATTTTGCCTGCTTCGTGGGCATTTTTGCAAATTTTTGTCTGGAATTTTTGCATGGTTCGTGGGCATTGCCTGTCTCAAGGGCGCGCCCCCACTCCCCCCCCCCCAACCCCCACCCCCCCGAACCCCCCCCCACCCCCCCCACAAGGGGCTGCCTGGTTTGCTGCCCTGCGATGGCAGCGTTGCAGGGTTCAGGCGAATGCTCGTCGGTTTTGGTTCTGTGTTAGAAATGATTTGGCCTGAGACAAATTAAGGTCGACAACTTCATTCTTTTGATAAACAAAACTGGTCGACAACTCCGTTCCTTTGATGAAACTGTGATAGTTTCCTATGTTGTGGGATCCAAAGGGTGGGTGGGTACAGTTTCGATACCAGAGTCACGAGCTTGACTAGTGAATGCTCAGACTTGAGATGCTGAACCCTAAGCCCCAAACCCTAAACCCCAAACCCCAAGTTCTAAACCCTAAACCCTAAACCCTAAACCCTAAACCCTAAACCCTAAACCCTAAACCCTAAACCCTAAACCCTAAACCCTAAACCCTAAACCCTAAACCCTAAACCCTAAACCCTAAACCCTAAACCCTAAACCCTAAACCCTAGGCTACGACAAGGGGAACAGGTGAGCAGCCACGGCCCAGCTCCCGCCACACCGAGCTGAAAACCGGGCAGGGCTTGGCAGGGGGGGCGGGTGGCTGAATTGATGTAACCGCCCCCACCTCCCATAACGATGCGCCTCGAGCCAGGCCTCGCAGGGATGTGGTCGGAGTCATCAGAGTGAGGAGCCCATGGGTTTAGGGTTTAGGGTTTAGGGTTTAGGGTTTAGGGGATGATTTAAGGCAACCGCCCGGTTGTCGTAATGGGTTTGGGGTTAGGGTTTGGGGTTTTGGGTTTAGGGTTTAGGGTTTAGGGTTTTGGGGATGATTGAAGGCAACCGCCCGGTTGTCGTAATGGGTTTGGGGTTTAGGGTTTGGGGTTTAGGGTTTAGGGTTTGGGGTTTAGGGTTTAGGGTTTGGGCCAGACTTGGAATACTTGGATAGGGCATGTGCCTCCACCCAGTGTTTTTGTACCCCGTCCCCCTTTGCTCCGAAGCGGGACCACCTGAGGTGAAGCCCCATCCACACTTCAGCCGCCAGGGGGAGGACCTGCACATCGCAGCAGGCTTAGTTTCGGAATGTCTCAGCTTCTCTTCGGGTACAAGAGCCTGCACTGCATTCACGGCGCTCCGTTGGTGCAGGCAGTGCAGATTCCGTTGGCCGATGCCCTCACTGGTGGAGCTGCTAGGCACACGCCCCCTAAGCTGCCCCAAAAGCATCCCAAACCTCTCTGTATCAGGCTGCAGCACTTGGATGGTCGAGAGCTGCTGGTTTGCGGATCCACAAAGGCGGGGCTTTGGAGTGGCCTTGGTGCAGTTCACGTGCGATCAGTAGTTCTGAAGTGGATGTGCAGGGTTTTCAGTTCTCCAGTTGCCGCTGCAGGTGATTAAGCCAGGCTCCTGCCAGCAGATTCGTGGAGAAGGCATGCCCAAGGCACAGCTCGGTTTCGGTTGTTGAGGGTCTGCTCGGAATTTGCCTTCACATGCTGCTGGGGTACCTCGGAATCAAAATCATTGCAAACACTTGCGTGCGCCGCCCCGGGAAGCCGGGTGGGCCCAAAGCAGCGCATCGCAGACGGAGGCAAGCCAACAGCGCCACACCCCTGTCCCGGGCATCCCGGGGGGGCGTCCCGGGGATCCCAGGGGAAGTTATAGGGGTGGTCCTTTTCGGGAGTCCCACAGGATTGGGGAGAAAGTTTCCGCTACAGGGGGCGGGGGGGAAGGAGACCGATGTTGCAACCCTTGAAAGTCCATAAACAACCCTGCAACCTTGACAATCTTAAGCCTTAGCCACGGTGCCCTGACAAGTGCTGTGGGGTTTCATCGGGGTTAGGGCTACCAAGGGGGAGTTCTCCACAGCAGTGGTCATGGAAAACCTTTGCCCCCTCGTTCGGGGCTCTTTGTGGCGCTGAACCCTGAGAGTTTCAGGAGACCCCTCGCCCGAACCCTCCCCGCGAACTTCCCCTGAACCCTAAACCCTAAACCCTAAACCCTAAACCCTGAACCCTAAACCCTAAACCCTAAACCCTGCCATCGAACCAGCCCGGATCCTCGCAGCGGGGTGACCTCTACGTGCACTTCGAGGCACCGGGGAGTTGATGCCAGAGGGTCTAAACCCTAAACCCTAAACCCTAAACCCTAAACCCTAAACCCTAAACCCTAAACCCTAAACCCTAAACCCTAAACCCTAAACTCAAAAGCATAAGCCTGTGTGCCAGCTTATGCCTTCTCACGTACAGGAGCGTATGACACCCGTACGGGAAGTGAACAACCGACTTACTAGTCTTACCTAGAGGTAAATGGTAATTATGGAACATAATTACAGCCATTTACTGTGTAAGTGCATTGTCTGTATACAAATATTCTTTAATATTTCAACAAGACAGTACTGTCAGTACTATTACAGTAATAATTTGAACCCTACAGGCAGCCTCCTAACGTCGCTCCCACAAATGGACCCTCGAGTGCTCGTGGCCAGCCAAAGGCCTGGAGCCAAAAATTACTCGGGAACAGCGCGTTTTTCTTTGTCTGGCCTTGTTAAATCGTGCTTGGGGCAAAAAATTACTCCAAAACAGCGCGTTTCTTTGTGTGTGGCCTCTCTGAATAAGCTCTTTCGAAAAGAGGCTGCAAGCTCTTTCGAAGGTCCCAGGGAGGCTTCGTGGGGGGTACCCCGGGATTCGGGAAAAATGGCTCGATTCCCAATTCGTTTTAAATAGAATTTATATAGCAGAAATGACCCCCTGCATTTTCTAGATTTGTTGCCTTCGTGTGGGGTAGCCCAGGAGAGGGTAAGCCCCCTGAAGCCCCCAAAGCGACTTAGGAAAATGGACCCTCGAGTGCTCGTGGCCAGCCAAAGGCCTGGAGCCAAAAATTACTCGGGAACAGCGCGTTTTTCTTTGTCTGGCCTTGTTAAATCGTGCTTGGGGCCAAAAATTACTCCAAAACAGCGCGTTTCTTTGTGTGTGGCCTCTCTGAATAAGCTCTTTCGAAAAGAGGCTGCAAGCTCTTTCGAAGGTCCCAGGGAGGCTTCGTGGGGGGTACCCCAGGATTCGGGAAAAATGGCTCGATTCCCAATTCGTTTTAAATAGAATTTATATAGCAGAAATGACCCCCTGCATTTTCTAGATTTGTTGCCTTCGTGTGGGGTAGCCCAGGAGAGGGTAAGCCCCCTGAAGCCCCCAAAGCGACTTAGGAAAATGGACCCTCGAGTGCTCGTGGCCAGCCAAAGGCTTGGAGCCAAAAATTACTCGGGAACAGCGCGTTTTCTTTGTCTGGCCTTGTTAAATCGTGCTTGGAGCCAAAAATTACTCCAAAACAGCGCGTTTCTCTGTGTCCCTGAAGCCCCCAAAGCGACTTAGGAAAATGGACCCTCGAGTGCTCGTGGCCAGCCAAAGGCTTGGAGCAAAAAATTACTCGGGAACAGCGCGTTTTCCTTTGTCTGGCCTTGCAAAATCGTGCTTGGGGCCAAAAATTACTCCAAAACAGCGCGTTTCTCTGTGTCCCTGAAGCCCCCAAAGCGACTTAGGAAAATGGACCCTCGAGTGCTCGTGGCCAGCCAAAGGCCTGGAGCCAAAAATTACTCGGGAACAGCGCGTTTTTCTTTGTCTGGCCTTGCTAAATCGTGCTTGGGGCCAAAAATTACTCCAAAACAGCGCGTTTCTCTGTGTGTGACCTCTTTGAATAAGCTCTTTCGAAGGTCTGAAGAAGCTGCAAGCTCTTTCGAAGGTCCCAGGGAGGCTCCGTGGGGGGTACACCAGGCAGGCTTCGGGAAAAATGGCTCGATTCCCAATTCGTATTCAATCTTGTTAGGAGTACCCCAGGAGGGGGTAAGTAAGACCTCTCAGCCGTCCAGGGAACTTCGAAAATTGCCGGAACGTAAGATGCCCGCACGGCAAGTGAACAGCCGACTTTCTAGTCTTGCCTAGAAGTAAATGGTAATTATGGAACATAATTACAGCCATTTACCGTGTAAGTGCATTATCTGTGTACAAATATTCTTCATATTTCCAGACAGTATTGTCATGACTAATACAAATAGTATTAAGGATACGCTTAAGCACTCAAGCTTCTTACAATTGCTCTGGGTGGCATCCTGGGGTGGGATATAGTAGAGCTCCATAGGCATGACGGAACTCTTTTGCACTGAAGGTTTCGGACGTCCGTCTCTCTTTCCACCTACTACGCATGTTAGGTCGACAAGCCCTAAACCCTAAACCCTAAACCCTAAACCCTAAACCCTAAACCCTAAACCCTAAACCCTAAACCCTAAACCCTAAACCCTAATTAAACCCGAAACCCGAAACCCTAAACCCTAAACCCTAAACCCTAAACCCTAAACCGAGTTGCATTTTTTGGTTGGAGGGTCCTGGTTTGGCAGCTCCTTCGTACGCTTGCAAGGGCCGTGTTGGGCTTGGCGAGGGGTTTGGGTCCAGGGTGAGTTTTTGGGGCGTGGGCTGTAGGATTTCCTTGTTCAGCTGATGCGCGGTCTTTTTGAACTTGAAATGTCCTGGCAGCGCAACTGCGCGTGAACTGCATGACCCTGGATCTTGCGCTCGGACGCCAAAAGGGTTGATCAGGTCACTGCAGGGCAGCATCCGTCCCACTACTCCTGCCAACTGCACTGGACATAGGGCATGTCTGCCGAAGTGTCAGGTGGCTTTTCCGGACACGTTGGATTCTGCTGGTGCGAAGGCGGGAGCAAGCATGGTCCCGTTAGAATCCCGTTAGGCCTAGCGAGAGGTAGAGGGAGAGAGGGAGTGAGAGGGAGAGAGAGAGAGAGAGAGAGAGAGTCTTGGGGTGTTTCGCACCCTCAAGCCCAGAGAGAGAGACACTCTTGCAGCTCAGCCCTAAACCCTAAACCCTAAACCCTAAACTCTAAACCCTAAACCCTAAACCCTAAACCCTAAACCGTGGCAACTTGTGCAGGAGCTCATGGCTGCTTTGCAGCGCGCACAGCGCCAAGAGGGCCCAGAGGCATCCGGCTTTCATAGGAAAGCCTTAGCCTGCTCGCTCCTGCGCATCTGTTACATCAAGGTGCTGCACTTCAATATGCCATGCTGCAAGTGGAGTTTCTGCACCAGTGGAGTTTTCGTGCCATCTTTGGCGTACTCCCGATGCAGGCAGGTGCAGCTTCGCCATCGGCGCCTCGTGAGCAGTCCCGCCTGTAGTCAGCAGATTATTGGCATCATCGTCATCATCATCCTAAACAAACAATCGTAAAAAGAAAATTAGTAATAGCAACAATGCGCAGTGTGTGGAGTGCCTTCCTGGCAGCAAGCCCCGTGCTCTGAGCACTGCAGATCTCTGCTGGCGAGCCAGAACAGCAGCTGTCTGTCGTGGTCCATACAACTCGTGCCTGAACCTGTACAGCGGCCAAAAGCAGTGCGGTGAGTCAGCACATGTCAGCATGCACAGGCCTCAGAGGCGCTTTCATCTTCCTAATTTTGGTGACGTCGCGAAAATAGGTCTACTTCTGAAGTCCAGCTGCTATGTCTCAGTCTTCCAACTTGCGAGGCTGCCCTCTCTGCAGTGGTGCCACAAGTTAAATCCTAAGTCCTTTGCCGGTCCAGCAAGCTGTCAAGCAAAGCAGAAGGAACTTACGAACCGCAAATCTGAGATTTTTTTGGGGTTTAGGGTCTAGAGATGAAGGAAAAGAGTGGCGAAGTGCCCAGCGACATCGAAGAACAGCACTCAAGAACACCGGTCCTTCGTCGTCTTCGTGTGCCAGTCAAGTGTATCCGCCATTGCTGCCCTGGACCACAGTAACCCTAAACCCTAAACCCTAAACCCGTAACCCGTAACCCTAAACCCTAAACCCTAAACTCTAAACCCTAAACCCTTAACGGTGTGTACCAAGGTCGCTGCTCCTTGGGGGGCTGCTTGTAGGGGCTGCCCTCCAGCGCAGAAGCCGAGTCGCGAGGCTTCAGGGGTGTTGCGGGGCTTTTTGGCCAAAGGGAATGGCGCTCGGTTTGAGCATAAAATGAGTGAGTATTAGTATATAGTTGGGTTATTCGTCTTTGGTGCTTAGCTCTTAACTCTTAACGCTTAACTTAATTCTTAAGTCAGAAAGAAAATACCGAGAAGCAGTAGCTCTCCACTGTTAGCAACAACACGTGTTCTTAGATTTTGGATGGTTTTTGCCTTTGTCCCCAAACACTGGTTAGGGCCAGGGGCTTATGTGTTTAAATCGAGAAAGTGCCCAAAACACGAAGGCACCCTTAACACACCGACAAACCCGGAAAAATGGAGCCTGGAGTGCCAGTGTTTCAGTCAGTTGTTTGTTTGTTTGTGGCTTTCCGATTGTTTTTTTCGTGACCACGCCCCTGGCCCACCATAGTCTCGGGCAGCTCCTCGAACAAAGCCTACGGAGACCATCGACTCCCTCGGCCCACATCCGAGAAATTCGAAGGACACCGAAGAATGACTGAAAACCGGAGTTTAGGGTTTAGGGTTTAGGGTTCAGGGTTTAGGGTTTAGGGCTTTTTCCTTCGGGTTTTGCTGACCACGTCTCTGGGCCGCTCCAGTGTGCGGCAGCCGAATAGACAGAAAATCTAGTGCTCGGGTGGCTTTTGGGAGGGGGCGGGGTTAGCATGCACACACACATATACATATGTAAACCCTAAACCCTAAACCCTAAACCCTAAACCCTAAACCCTAAACCCTAAACCCTAAACCCTAAACCCTAAACCCTAAACCCTAAACCCTAAACCCTAAACTCTAAACCCTAAACCCTAAACCCTAAACCCTAAACCCTAAACCCTAAATCCTAAACCCAAACGAAAGAGGATGAGATTATGCGATGCTCTATCTTTTTTCATGTATCGTGGCACGAAGTTGTCAGGCGCGTGACGATTAAGGACATCAAGGAGCTGACGCACCTGGGCTGCGTATGGAGCTGCCCAAAACAGGGGTTTAGGGTTTAGGGTTTGGGGTTTAGGGTTTAGGGTTTAGGGTTTAGGGAGCTCTGGGTTCAGGATCCGAAGTCTGGGGGGTATTCCGACAACAAGGAGTAACAGCGCTACGGGATCATCTGGGGGGTACATGATGAAGGAGACTCCCTTAAACCCTAAACCCTAAACCCTAAACCCTAAACCCTAAACCCTAAACCCTAAACCCTAAACCCTAAACCCTAAACCCTAAACCCTAAACCCTACAGAAAGGACTGTTGTGAGGCGGAGTTGTTGGGTAGTTTTCAGTCATTTAATAAGGTTTAGGGGTTAGTAAACGCTTACAACTTTAAACTTATGGCCTCACAACAGTCCATTCATAAGTGGGAATCTTGACCATGATGTTTGGCATACATGATTTGGGGGGTGGGGGGGGGGAGGGGGTCCTTGGAAGTTGGCCCATCTTGGCAGGAGTCCCCCCCCCCCTCAAGCGTAACAGCCGTAGCTGTGCCACAGTTGGTTTGCTTTCACGTATTTCCAGACATGTTATTCGGAAGTTCCCTGTTTCGAAACACAGCCTTTGTTTCGAAACACAGCCCTTGTTTTGAAACATGGATCTCCCCGTCACAGCCACAATTGGTTAAAAAAATGAACTTCGTCATATCTACCGCAACCTCACACAATGCTTCGTTTCCATGCCTTAAACCCCAAACCCTAAACCTTACAAGTTACCGGGTTCCTCAACTCAAAGACCCCAAAGCCTAAACGGGCCTAAGCCCTGAAACCCTATGAACCCTAAACCCTACTAAACGCCGGACCCTGAACTCTTGCAGCCACCTAAGCCCGGTTGCTCTTAAATGTGCAGCCCTCCAACGCTATGTTTGCCGATGTGGCGCATGTGGCACTGATGATTGTGCAAGAGAGCATGGCATTCTGGACAAAGAAAAGGCATGCGTAATCCCTGCTGTGCCCCCCTCCCGAGTCCGGCTTGCCTGTCTCGTGTGGGGAAGGTGATGGTGCTCCACACCCTCGATCTGTCGCGACTACGTCTCGCGTCCGCTGAGGTGTGTTTGGGGCAGGGGACCATCCCCTCTGCGCACCGATAATTAAACATGTCCTGCTGCTCCCTTTGCCCCACTACCCACTATCTGTCCGTGTGGGGCCGACATGTGTCCCTCTCTGACGATTTGTGGGTGCTGGGTCAGGATCTGCAGAGGAGGCTCCCCTGCCTCCACCCACTGCCCGGTCCGCGCCTGCTGACTGGCAACACCACCACCACCACCACCCTAAAGCCTGAACCCTGAACCCTAAACTCTTAGGCCCCTAGGCTGTCGCCGCGGCGGTCAGGATTTAGGTTTAGGGTTTAGGGTCTAGGGTTTAGCTGAAATTCTTCGGGGCCGGTTGCTGTGTCAGTTTGTCGGTTTCGAGGAAGGTTTCCTTGGGGGAGGGGAGGACAGATTCGACGCAGTTTTGTTTCAAGATGCGGCGCTGGCTTGGAACGATGCCCATGTAAATACGTATGCACATGATACCATATGTAGATACACATCCTTTGGGGAGGGACACCATATATATATATATATATGTTGATTTGTTTTAATAGTACGTGTATATATATATATATATAGAGCAACTAATAAGAGTCGCTATTACAATACCATAGCATGATGCAGTTTTCGAGTAGTATTATCCAGGGTCATGTGGATACTAACTACTAGAGTAGTACATATAGTCGCCATGTTACCGTTTCCGGTGGGCCGCCTTGCAGATGAAGATGTGAGGCGTCCTCATATGCAACCTATAGGGGCTGTTACCAAGAAGGAGCCGAAGACAGATCTTCGTATGCAACCTATAGGGGCTGTTACCAAGAAGGAGCCGAAGACAGAAACAGCGTTGAGAACAGTGTCTGCCGGTGTCAAGCGCAAGCAGTCCGATGTCATCCCTATAGGGGCTGTTCCCTCTGCCGGTATCCAGTGCAAGCGGTCCGATGTCATCCCTATAGGGGCTGTCCCCTCTGCCGGTGTCCAGTGCAAGCGACCAATGTCATCCCTATAGGGGCTGTCCCCTCTGCCGGTGTCGAGTGCAAGCGGTCCGATGTCATCCCTATAGGGGCTGTCCGGAAGTATCAGCCATCTCATACCACGCCGATAGGTGCAGCCACCAACCGACAGCATGTGGATATGAAGTCTGCAGATGCCGAAGAGATCCCTCATGGACGGCTTCGAGTAACAGAACCGCCGTATCCCCCCCCATGGTTAGCGACTGCTGGGCCTCCTCCGGAAGTACTCCGACCAGCAGGGCCTTCGTTTCCTCCCTCTTGGTGCGTGCTCCATCAGCGAGAAGTTCGCATACACGTATGGGGCGGACAAGCAGATGATAGGGATCTAGATTACGTGGTTGACTGCAGATGCTTTTCCGACCCGGGACACGACCCGTCCTTGCGCTCACACTCAGGACATCACGATGAAACACTTGCTTCGGTAAGTGGGCACAAGCTTTTCACGAAAGAAGTAGATAAACTGCTTCGCTTTCTTGTACTGTTTCAAGGCCCCGTAGTACAATGGGATTCTTCTGTCGTGCTGGTAAACACCGGTCTGTGGCCATGTCGTGGCTGACACGGGTACTTGTTCAATCGCTAGGAGCGGTGAGTTGCAGAATGCATTACTCCCGTCAATCCAGCCATCTGTGTTGGTCCTGTGCTAGATGTAGGGAAGACACTGCTCGCAGCTCGTGAACGTATACAGGATCTGTAGACAAGAGTATGATGCGCGCAGACATGTGTGGACAGCAGCAACGCTGATATGGGGTTGTCGATGCCAGAACCTTATGGGGTTCAGGATTGTCGGAGTTGATGTCGTGAACTTTTTACTTTAGAGGTGGGTTTTAGGGGGGGGGGGTAGCTATTTGCTTTGCACTCGCAACAACATGAACTTAGTCCAAAACACTGCATCACATTCAAAAAAACTCCGCCTCACAACAGTCCCCTCTCAAACCCTAAACCCTAAACCTCAAACCCTAAACCCTAAACCCTAAACCCTATTTGGATCAAGAGCAAGCCGAGTAGGGCTCAACGCCAAAGCCCTTTTTGGGTAAACGCCCAAAACAAGAGCCGCCACCGAGGATCAAGGACGTGCCCGAGAATTGGGGGCCAGAGCCTGAGCCACCTCAGGGGTTCCTGAGTCCTTTAGTTCGTTCTTTAGGGTTTAGGGTTTAGGGTTTAGGGTTTAGGGTTTAGGGTTTAGGGTTTAGGGTTTGGTGGGTGAAGGGCTTGGGGTGTAGGGTTGGGTGTAGCAATGTCGGCCACCACCAAGCAACACTAGGACACCAGGGGAGGCTAGACAAGCTCAAGCGAGCGACGCGCTGAACCGAGGTCGATCGGCGCCAGAAAGGCTCGCAGATTCATGCAGATTCAGGCGCTTGGTGGGTGACACGTCACGAATGTCTGGAAACCCGAGTGCCGCATTTTCATGAGATGAAGTACTGGCACGGATCTTTATCCGCCGGAGTAGCCATCTTCTCAGATGCAGTTGTTTGTATATGTATCACGACGACTGGGAACAACGCTACACATGGATCAGATTTCTTTCGGGGTGTGCAGAAGGGTGCAATTCCGAAACTCCTGAGCGAGACAGACTGAATCTCACATAAACCGTAAACCCTAAACCCTAAACCCTAAACCCTAAACCCTAAGCCCTAAACCCTAAACCCTAAACCCAAAACCCTAAATCCTAAACCCTAAACCCTAAACCCTAAACCCTAAACCCTAAACCCTAAACCCTAAACCCTAAACCCTAAACGTCTGACTGCGCAGGCCATCATGCGCCAACTGGACAGAACGTTTTTTGCGGCAATCTCAGCCGTCAACTTCTGCTGATTGGCCTGCAGCATGAGCTGTCTCAGGGCATACATAGATCGTCAGCATGTGGTGGCGAGCCGAGTTCATGGCCTTCAACAAAGAAGAGATGGCTGCTAGCGAAATGGAGGAGTCCGAAACATCCGACAAGCCTGTGTTGGGCACCCTAAGCCCGAAACCCTAACCCTCAACCCCAAACCCTAAACCCTAAACCCTAAACCATAAACCCTAAACCCTAAACCCTAAACCCTACACCGGGCAGGCCTTTGTCATGATGTGGCTCACATGACGGGCTGCCTCAGCTGTTTGGCGAAGCAGTCACGAACAGCTAGCATCATCCATGCAAGGTTCCACCCTCAACCCTCAACCCTAAACCCTAAACCCTACACCCTAAACTCTAAGACGCACATGAACAGGGCCGAGTGGCCCGCTGCCAGTTTTGCCAAGATTGTATGAGTGCAGTCCTACCTTCACGCCGCAGGAGGCGAGGGGTTTTTTTCCGTCCACAGTCAACGTGCGGCACCTCAAGAACACCTGGGTTAGGCAGGGGGCGCTTTGTTGAATGGTGAAGCCTCTTGTTCCAAACCCTAAACCCTAAACCCTAAACCCTAAACCCTAAACCCTAAACCCTAAACCCTAAACCCTAAACCGCAGGGACCAGTCAAGACAGAATGCCCCGTCAGGAAAGCCATGGAAGGGACCGACTGGGAGCCGATGAGGGACAGGATCAAGGGCAAGAATATGTTCCTCAGTTGGCAAGAGGGTTTAGGGTTTAGGGTTTAGGGTTTAGGGTTTAGGGTTTAGGGTTTAGGGTTTAGGGGAGTCCATCTGCGATCAGACGAGTTGATTCGCTGCCGGTGGTGCCCGGTACATTCTGACATCAGACATGCTGCTCGCGTGTTTCACATGTTCATGACAAGAGCTGGCCGCGCCACGCCATAGGTTTGTCTTCGTGGAGAACGACAAGGACCTCAAGCCATCAATCCAGGCGGGCAGGTTTCTTCTATGTGCCAAGCTTCTAGGCTCAGGTAGCACGACGACTTAGTCCAGGTGCCGGTGCGAGAATGTTTTCCCGGCAACAGTTCAGGCTCAAGTCCTGAAAGTTTTTTGGCCAAGCAGGGTCGGTAAATGGCACCTTCTGATCTTAGACCACTGATCTTGTCGTGCCCACGGAGAACCCGAAGGTGCTTTGCATGATGTCTCACCTGTTGCAGGCGTACATGAAAATCGAGAAGCAGTTCGATCGGACAGCCCTTCGTCCTTGCGTGGATCCAGATTCTCCCTGCTTCCTTCACCCCTAAGACCAGCGAACCTCATCGGAGGCAAAGGCTGTGCAACCGAAGCCCCGCAACCGAAGTCTTTCTAAAGAGCCTGGGAGAGGGTACAAATGCGAGGCAATTGGGGTTTAGGGGGTTGAAGGATGTTTAAGGGGGTTCGGATGGTTAAGGGGTTACTGTAAAGGATGTTGAAGGGGTTTAAGGATGTTTAAGGATGTTTTAAAGGGGTTTTTTAGGAATGTGGACACCTCTTAATTGTGAGCGTGCTAAGGCTAAGCTCGATGCCCTCAGGGAGGACATGTCGGGTGTGCCGTCCTCAGGAAACCCCGATGTGTCCGCGCACTAAACCGGTTTAGGGGTTCAAGGGTGCAGGATGCTTGCTCGTAGTTGCAGCACGTCTTGGCTTCCAAGAAGCCTGTAAGAAGCTGGCTTCTCGAGTTGTTTTGTTTCGAAGACGTGCGTGACATCACAGCTTTTCCTGCGCTGCGTGCCGTCGGCTTCTTGCTGGAATGCTAGCAAGGCTTGGTTGATTGCATCCCTAAACCCTAAACCCTAAACCCTAAATCCCAAACCCTAAACCCTAAACCCTAAACCCGAGAGCTTGCCTGCCAGAGCCTGACGTACGACCTCCAGCCAATGATCGGTGGAATGATGAGTGACGAGTGGCCGTTCTGGCACAGTTGCAACAAATTCTAACGCCTGGCGCCTCTTGCATTGCCTGCTGCATGTCCACAACCAGGTGAATATGGGAACAACGTATATGGGGGCTTCCGAACATACCGGGTACCCTTGTTGCGGCTCTTTGAAAATCAAAGGATTCTGGTGTTTTGGTGTTTTTTGTTGGGACACCCCTATTTTCGGAAACCCCCTTATGTTTCACCCGCATGTCGTAGTTGTGACACTGCATAGCTTTGCCAGGACCGTCATGGAGCCGGCAGATGTTGTGAAGCTGAAGGATGCCATGATTCGCATGTCTACCCCCCCAAAAAGGGGGTTAGGGGTGAGGGTTTAGGGTTTAGGGTTTAGGGTTTAGGGTTAGCCCTCAAAAAACCCGAAGAGTCTTGGAGTATAATCCCCCTTTCAGGACCCCGAAAAATGGGCGCCCTAATTGTTGGAAAACCCCCCCATGTAAGACATTCCCCCGCCGGCCCAAGCGACTGATGTGCGGCGCAGGACTTCCCCACCAAGACGGAGCTTATCGGGCAGATTGCGGGCTCCCTCAAGCAAGTCACCACGAAGCTGGCGGTTGGCGTTCGACAGGCGTTGTCCTGAGGAGTTGCAAAGGGCCGGAGCTGAAACGAAGCCAGAGCCCATGATGGCCGCCTATGATATCTCACGAGAGTGTATGATAACGATAAAAGCATATAAATCTCTATATATATATACACATATATACATATAGGTATAACAAATACTATATCATCGCCACAATACAGGTATACAGATATATATATATATATATGTGGCCGAGACCTTTAGGGTCTATTTCACGGCTGGTTCTTCTTTCAGTAGTAGTGCAATAATAATAATTTTAATATTATTATGAGTATAATAATACTGACCGTAATTGTAATAGGAATAATAATAGTACTAGTAATAGTAATAGGAATAGGAATAGTAATAATACTAGTAATAGTATTAGTAGTAGTAACAGTAATAGTGAAGGTTTGGTCTGTGTGTGCACCGGCGCCAGCAAGTGCAGCCATGTAGCTCTAGCACACTTTGAAGTAAGAGATAGACAAGTTGTTTCATAGCCTGAAGAGGGGCGAAGGGCTCTCTCATTTCCGATTACGAGGTAGAGGTGAGCTATCTCATTTCTTAGAAACATAGAGGAGATCTCATTTCCACGACAGAGACATCTTTCACTCAGGAGAGAACGCAAGCTGTTTCATTTCCAAGAAAATAGAGGAGCTCTATCATGTCGCAGTAGAAGTGAGAAGCTCTGCACTAAAAGATAGAAGGCATCGATTCGTTTCCCTTTTTCTTTTGCTTATCAAAGGGTCTTTTCAGTTCGAACACAGGATTTCTTTCATGCCCTATAGGAAGGATCGAGGAGCTCTTTCATCTGAGAGATAGAAGAACGCATTCATGAAGTATACACGAGCTCATTTCTCGTCAAAAGGCAGAGGCGTGCCCAGCTCTACCATTACCTAACTCTTACCTGAAATTTCTCTATCTCGCAATAGGTCATGAGAGACCTCCTTTTTCACGCTGCAGGAAATGAGAGAGTTCTCTTCTATGTCGATTTTCAGAAATAGCTTCGCAGCTTCTCTATCAATGAAGAGTTTTGAAGGCCACTCTGGGCCATTCTCTGTCCATCAAATGGGACATGACATAACGCATCACTCGCTATCGTTTACGTGATAGAGTTTCGCTATCTCTGAATAGGTCATCTGAAAGCTCCTCTGTATCTTTGCAGCAAGTGAAGGAGCTCCTTGCCTCTTCTGCAAGAGCCCTCCGCTTCCTATTTTGCAATGAGCAAGCTCTTTTATCTCCTCTGGTTCCTAATAGGTCATGAGCGGGCTTCCCTCTCTCCTTCTCTTTTAGGGGATAGAGGAGGTTTTTTCATGTTGCGTTAACAGCTAGAGGACATCATTTATATCCATTCTGTCATTTCGTATGAGAAGATACAGGAGCTCATTCATCTCCTAGTCAGAGATTGAAGAACTCGTTCACAAGAGATATAGATATAAGAAATCTCTCATACAATGTATAAGAGCTCTCTCATGTCCTACCTAGTTCATTTGCCGTCACCAGCGCTCAGCTCTACCATTTCGTATCTTTTATATGACATAGCTTCTCTATCTCGCAATAGGTCATGAGAGACCTCCTCTTTCTTTTGCAGGAAATGAGAGAGGTCTCTATCTACCTTTTGTGAAAGAGCTCCCTTTGTTCAATCACAAGAACTCATTCATAGAAGCTGTAAGAGCTCTCGAATGTACTTTCTTGTTAATTTCCCGTCGATAGGTAGAGGAGCTCACAGCTCTACCACATCCTACCCTTTACATGGAAGAGGCTCCTCTATCTCGTAGCGGGTCAAGAAAGATTGGCTCTATCTCTTTGCAGAACATTAGAGAGTCCTCTACCTACCTCTGTGAAAGAGCTCCTTCACCTCAAAATCAAATGCCACAACTCGTCTATCTTTCACTGGGACATGAGACAGCTCCATTGTGAAATTTCTATTCAGAAATAGCTGCTTCTCTATCGATGAAGAAATCATGCGAGTAGCCGTTTATCGATGCATAAGAAATGACATAGCTCTTCTACCTTTTTGCGACAGATCTCTTCTTTACCCGAAATGAAAGTTTGGAAGGCCATTCTCTATCCCTTGAATGGGGACACAACTCATCAGTCTCTATCGTTTACGTGAGAGAGTTTCGCTATCTCTGAACAGGTCATCTGAAAGCTCCTTTGTGTCTGCGCAGCAAGTGAAGGAGCTGCTTGTCTCTTCTGCAATAGCTCCTCCGCTTCCTATTTTGCAATGAGCAACCTCTTCTATCTCCTTTGGTTCCTATTTCTCGTTTGCCATCACTAGGCAGAGGAGCTCTCAGCTCTACCATGACCTATCTTTTACATGAAAGAGGCTTCTCTATCTCGTAACGGTTCATGGAGTCATGACAGATCTTCTCTATCTCTTTGCAAGAAAAGAGAGCGTGCTCTACCTACCTCGTGTGAAAGGGCTCCTCCACCTTGTGATCGAGAGTGACAGAACTCGTCTATCTTTCAATGGTGCATGAGCCAGGTTTTTTGTTTGTATTTGAGAAAAAGCTTGTCTACCCGTGATATAATAAGAAATGAATAGCTCTTCTACCTTTCTGTGACAGATCTCTCCTTTATTCGAAATGAAAGTCTGGAAGGCCATTCTCTATCCCTGAAATGGGGCATGACATAACTTTTCAATCTCTATCGTTTACGTGATCGAGTTTCGCTATCTCTGAATAGGTCATCTGAAAGCTCCTCTGTATCTTTGCAGCAAGTGAAGGAGCTCCTTGCCTCTTCTGCAAGAGCCCTCCGCTTCCTCTTTTGCAATGAGCAAGCTCTTTATCTCCTCTGTTTCCTAACAGGTCATGAGACAGCTCATTTCCACACTGTCATTTCGTATGCGAAGACACAGGAGCTCATTCATTTTCTATTCAGAGATTGAAAAACTCATTCATAAGAAATGTATGAGAGTTCTCTCATGTCCTATCTAACTGATTTCCCGTCACTAGGCAGAGGAGTCCTCAGCTCTACCATTTCTTATCTTTATATGACATAGCTTCTCTATCTCGCAATAATCAGGTCGTGAGAGACCTCCTCTTTCTTTTACAGGAAATGAGAGAGGTCTCTATCTACCCTTTGTGAAAGAGCTCCCTTTGTTCACTGGCAAGAACTCATTCATGAAAGCTATAAGAGTTCCCGTCGATAGGTAAAGGAGCTCACAGCTCTTCCATATCTTACCCTTTACATGAAAGAGGCTCTCTATCTCGTAGCGGGTCATGAAAGATCGTCTCTATCTCTTTGCCGGACATGAGAGAGTCCTCTACCTACCTCTTGTGAAAGAGCTCCCCCACCTCGTAACGTACAAAGGCAGAACTCGTCTATCTTTCAATGGGACATGATCCGTCTCTTTGGTTTTGGTTGAGAAAAGCTTCTCTATCCATGAAGCAAACATGAGAGAAGCCGATTGTCTCTAGGCTGCTTATCGCTTCGTAGGAAATGACATAGCTCTTTTACCTTTTTGCGAGAGATCAACCCTAATTGAAGGTTTCGAAGGCCTATCCCTGAAATGGAGCGTCGCATAACTCATCAGTCTCTCTCGCTTACGTGAGACAGCATTTATTCTATTTCGTAACAGGTCATCTAAACGCTCTTCTATGCGTTTGTAGAAGTAAAAGAGCTCCTTGCCTCTTGTGCAAAAGCTCCTCCGCATCCTAAAGAGCACTGAGCAAGCTCTTCTATCTCCTCTCTCTTGAATAGGTCATGAGAGGGCTCCCCTCCCTCTGGTTGAGGGAATGACAGAGCTCCTCCGCCCCTTACGAAAGAGCCTTTCTCCTGCTTGAAAAGCTGCGGGCGGGTGCTCTGGCGCCTCGTAGGTTTGGGAGGTCTCCTTTTCACATCTTTATCTTTCCGACTCCGAGATATAGGAGCTCATTTTTTCGAAAGTGGTAGCAGAGATCTCTCATTTCCAAGAGATCTTTGTCACTCAGGGAGAAAGCAAGGTTTTGATTTCAAAGAAATGGAGGAGCTCTTTCATGTCCCATTAAGAGTGGGGAGCGCTCTCATTACGCATGAAAAGATTGATGACATGGATTCGTTACCATTCTTTAACTTTTCTCGAAGGGTCTTTTCTTTTCATATGCAGGATCTCTTTCATTTCCTATGAGAAGATAGAGGAGCTCTTTCATCTCAAAGATAGAAGAATGCATTCATAAACGGTATAAGAGCTCTCCCATGAACTATATCTCATCGTAGGGGGCATAGGAGTCTTAGGGGGCTCAGGATTCGCGTGCAGGGTGTAGGGTTTATAGGGCTACGGGAATTTAATGGAGGGTGTATTTGTGTAGTCTGCCTATTACCGTAACAAACCCGTGACATAACCCAGAGCCATTACTTGCAAGACTGCTTCTTGAAAGCAAGAGCGCTAGTGTCTAACCATTGTACATTCCTACATGAGATACCCCACCACATCTTGAAAACACCTCTTTCTCCAAGGGTTTACTGGGGCATTAAGGAACAAGAACGTGATGGTTTCAGCACCAAAGTAAGGGAATAGCAAAGGGTTTCCAGGGATGGAAAACTTCCCTGATGCAACCGGTCTCTATCTCACAAGAGGTCATGAGAGACCTCCTGTATCACATTGCAGGAATGAGAGAGTTCTCCACCATGTTTGTTTTCCGAAATAGCTTCTCTATCAATGAAGAGTTTTGAAGGTCGCCCTGGGCCATTCTCTGTCCGATAAATGAGACATGACATAACTCATTAGTCTCTATTAAGAGAGTCTCTATCTCTACGTGATCGAGTTTCGCTATCTCTGAATATACGTCGTCTGAAAGCTCCTCTGTGTCTTTGTAGCAAGTGAAGGAGCTCCTTGCCTCTTCTGCAAGAGCTCCTCCGCTTCCCCTTTTGCAATGAGCAAGCTCTTCTATCTCCTCTGGTTCCTAACAGGTCATGACTTCTGCAAGAGCTCCTCCTCTTGATATTTTGCAATGAGCAAGCTCTTCTATCTCCTAATAGGTCAGAGAGGGCTTCCCTCTCTCCCACTCTTGTAGGGGATAGAG